CAATTTCCACGCACTTTTCATCAATTTGAGAAATCCTTTTTAACCTTTTCACCTATTTCCAAGACATTTTTTATTCCAATCCCGATATTGAACCGTACCTAGAATTACTATTTGCCTAACAATAATAATTATGCTTTGCAAGACATGAAATTACTTGAACAAACATCTTGCTGGTCAACAACGCAAATTGTCAAGTTGGATAGATGTGAATTATATTAACACGAGTATGGAGTATGGAGAATGGAGCATCGACATGTCGGGAACAAACATTAAATATCATGCTATTGTGAATAAAATTGTAGCCAAATAGTATAATGTAATGAGACCCACATTAACAACTATATGTAGAGGATCTTCCGTCGGATACTACTATCGGGTGCAGGTGTGTATCCAAGCGTCAGACTGTAAATTCCATCAAAATATTCATTTTCATGTTTGGTTAGACTAAAAAAATAATAACAAATGTATTACAAATGGAATCATCTTTCACCATTTTAGGAAAGGATAAGGAATCATCATTCCATTCCCTCTAATTCCAATGAACCAAATAGAGCATTAAATCTTAGGATGTTGGGACACGTATCCAAAACTGGATATGGGTACTAGGTGCGGATAATATTCTCGGATGAAATGTTGTAAAATATGTAGAAATATACTAGACATTAAATAGGGTTTAAGGAAAATATAAAAGTATTATATCTAATTCATGCGAGAGGCTAAAAGTATTGTTTTACTAGCAAATGTGAGTTTCTTTTAAATCATATATTAAAACAAATTGTAAGATTGGGGTGTTTAAATTGGGTACAGGTGTCGGATATATGTCCCACACCCTTACCCTTGTCATATCCGGTAGACATAGAAGAGCCCATGTAATACAGGTACAATCCATTGTCTAGTAGGTAAGTTAATGAGGTGAGAAAAAACTGTAGCTATAGGGTCTTTGAGGTTTTATTGTGCTTCCAGACTGCTTGTATATCATTAGAACGAGGCGTGAATCCATATTGTTTTCAGCATTGGTTTGAATGAAACTGAGAACTTTATGTAACAACACTCGAATAGACTCTCTTCCAAATAGAGCGTTATATACACTTATGCTGTGTTTGGTTGGAGGATTTGGGGAGAGATTTGGAAAGGAAAAGAAAAAAGGTGTTTTATTCACATTTCACCTAACTTTTCCCTTTCCCTTTCCAAATCCCTCATCAAATCTTCCAACCAAACACAGCGTTAGGGTGGCAAATCCCCTTTCACAATCTACATAGGACCATACCTAAAAGAACAGGTTTAGAATCCATTTTCAGAAAATATTAGAACTAAGTGTATGCACTCAAACATAATGCAAATCCTCCCTTGTCAAGCATGCGAGTAATATTGAACACATGTTTGCCTCATCAATTCCTAACGCCCTCGAAATAATCCACCTCGAGTTTAGTCAAATGCAAATCAATGCATTTAAGTTCCAATTGTATTGACAGGAAAAAAGTACTTCACAATGAAAGATATGTTTTCCAGTATTTTTAGAAACAGAAAAATGGATTGTTGCAGCTCTGCTTGGATACTAGCCAGGGTAAGGAGTAAAGAAAGCTTTGTCCATCTCAAAAAGTGAGTCTCTAAACTTTTGAGGTTAAAAAAGAATTTGAGACAACCATGATTTTAAAGGAAGTGTTTTATCTTTTTCCCCAAGTAGAGAGTATTGATATAGAAATAAGGAAAAAGGCAAACCTAAGAAGCTCCAACAATAACACACCTAGTGGTCCAAATCGAAAAATTTCATGAATAGGAATGGAATACTTATTTTGTCTCTTTATGGGCCTCACTGGGTGATGATTCACTTTAATATAATAATCCAGTAACTTCATGTGTCTTGAAGAGCACTGAAGAAGAATAGAGTTTTTATTTGGGTGAATTTACACTTTACCCCCTTCAACTATTGTCCAATATCACTTTACCACCCTCAACTAAAAATTGTAACAACTAACCCCCTTCATCTAATAATTTTTTTCAATTTGAACCTTTATGACTAAGAACCCTTTCATCAATTGGATAAATTACACTTTATCCCCTTGAACTATCACATATCACTTTTAGTTTGGACTTCATTTTCTTTTCTTTTCTTTTTTTTCACTAAATTAATTTTTAGTTTGTTAGGGGAAAAAAAAAATTAAAAATTCTTCACAAATATTTAAATTTTAGGTGCATCTAAAAATTTAAATTATTTGACTAAAATATGAAAAATTATTACGAAAAAAAACCTTAAAAATTGGATTTTAAATTAAAAATCAACTAGTTTTTTTAGTTGAGGGGGTAGTGTGATATTGAGTGATAATTCAAGAGGGTAAAGTGTAATTTACTCCTATAGTTAAGTGTTACAATTTTTCGTTCAAGGGAGGTAAAGTGATGTGAGACAATAATTTAGGGGGATAAAATGTAATTTGCCTCTTTATTTTCCTTCTTTTAGGCTCTCTTTGGATCCTAGATTTATGTAGGGATTTGAAAATAGAAAGGAAAAGGAAAAGGAAAATGCGAAAGAAATTGAGACAAAATTCAACTTATATTTCCCTCACATTTTCCTTTCTCTTTCCAAATTCTTGCACAAATCCATTGCCAAAATACAACCTTATGGTTTTGTTTTGCCAACTAGGAGATTCAGATTACTACAAGGCAGTATGTTTCAAGGTCAATCTTCCTATTGAACAATTTTTACTTTTATTTTTTATTTATTTTTTTAAGCAAAAGAGGAAAATAATAAAAGAAAAAAGCTAAGAAGCATGGACACAGACATGCAACACAACACGGACACGCTAACATGTCAATTTTAAAAAAATTGCAGAACATCAGATATCCATATTAAAAAGAATTTGAATGAATATTATTGGCGCCATGTTGAAACCAACCAATACGAAGGAGACACGTGGTAAACCGGGCAAATGTGAGTTATCCAGTCAGAAGCAAACACGCGAATGACCATCAAAATTCAAGAGTCAAACTTCGAGGTAAGTCACGTGCACAACACATGACCAAGAAAGATCATTGTGCGAGCGGTTATTTGAAGAGGCAAGGCTGGAGCATCAAGAAGAATTCAAAGATGAAGAAAGGAGGGAAAAACTCCTAAAGACTAGCTGCAAGGAAGGAAATCGTGGGTATGAGGCTGGGTAACTGCCACAAATTCAAAGGCAGCCTATAAATAATCGAAGACAAAGATGGAGAAGACCTTTGAGCAAATCCAAACTCTACGTCTTCGCTTTCCTTTTTTTTCTTGAAAAACCTTTACATTCCATAGTAGTAACCTTTGAAAGTTGCCCAGATCATTAAGGTAACAACAGTGTAATTGTGTTATTCAATTAATCAATTACATACTTCTGTCTCAGTTTCTTCCCCCAATTATGTTTCAAATTATTTGTTTATGCTACATTGGTTCTTAATCAAAACACAGTTTTTTGAATTCCTATTCATTGAGGCAAAATGAACCTTTCACAATTGTATATTAAGTGTTTGGCTTAAACCTGTATCTGTAAGAACTTTTTAGTCCTTCCGGCACACACGAATTACAAATTTTACCCTAACTAGTCTAGCCAAACAATGCTTATGGGCAGAAGTTCATAAAATCAAACACCCAGTGTCAAGAAACACAGAACTGAAAAAAAGAAAAAATAATAAAATAATTCAGAATCAGTTCTAGAACATCAGATTTATGCACCGACAGTTCAAAATTCATCTAATAGGACAATGCCATTTACAAAACTATAGTAGTCGTGCAACCAAATTGAATGCATATCATAGCTACCAAGTTCCCACACAGAAATTGCAGATCCAACCCATTTCCATAGGATGGCAGCAGCAAGTATATGTCAAAATCAATGCCATTAAATTCTACAATTCAGTTCTAAACTCCACCTAAAGATAATCATAACAAACAACACAAGATTTCAATTTAGGGAAACAAAACAACAATTACCTCAATGAGAAAGAAGGGTATCACTTCACTTGGAGGACACTGGCTTCTGCAAAAGAGCAGTCAAGTAAACCTCCCCATTCTTCACCCCGCTCGAATCGGTCTTATTGGCCACTGCCCATTTCACCTTCTTATAACCCAACTTCCCAATCAAAGGCGCATAAACCTTGTCAAGATCAATCCCTTTACAGAAAAACCTGTCCAACCACAAGTACCCACCACCCCTCAATACCCTATCCAAATCATAGAACAAGAATTCCATTGCTGTCACCGGTATCCACTGATTGACGGCGTGGCCACACCTCACCAGATCCAAAACACCGTCGAACACCGGCAGCTGCTGCTGAAGCGGGGCATGCAGCGGCACCAACCCCCTCAGCCCCGCCGCCTCGTTGTAGGGAGCACCCAAATTCATTGTAGTCTATATAACAAAAAAGAACAGAGAAATTAGGGTTTGCTGGGAAAAAGAGAATAGGGGATGACCAGATCTGCAACTCTTGAAATCGAAATTGGAGGGAAAAAAACGGGGGAAAAAAGGAAGGGAAGAAAAAGGGAAGAGGAGGATAGGATCCGCCAGAGAAAGAGGAGGAGAAGAGCAGGTCGACACCGGAAAACATATGCCTAAATTGGCTCAAAGCACAGTCAACATTATAGACATACCTCGGTGGCTTCCCCTCCCCCTGATCGACGAGATCTTGAGTGCACCTATCTGTGAAGTTGATAAAGACAGACATCAAGAATCAGGTAGTTAGGCAGTTGAAAGTCCTTCACATTTATTGCACTTCTCTTGCCAAAACAGATGCTTGACATATGCATTGCATACAACCAAGATTTATTGTCATTTGAGAGTTGTAATTATTGGAGAAAGTAAACGCTTAGGTGATGTTTGGGAATTGAGTTTTTTTAGTACTTTTTAGTTTTTATTAAAATACATACTAGAAAAGTAGACAAAATGAGTTGACTTGTATTAATTTTTTGATTTTTTTGGCTAGAATGTATTGGTACCAAAAGAAAGATCCAAAAACTCAGATAGACACACATGCATCAAAACTCGCAATAATCTCTTTCATCCAATTCCATTCTACACAGATTTCTACTCAACCAACCAACCAACCAACCAACCAACCAACCAATAACGTGTACCCCAAATATTACAGTTCTACCAGAATCTAAATAATATGCAACACCATTCTATTCAATAAGTTACAGTCAACACTGAGCCAAATAACATATTAAAATAAAAAAAATAAAAAAAAGAAAGAAAGAAAGAAAAGTTATAGGAAACCAATAAAGAGGATCCCGTCTTTAGACATGTTTTTTGCAGGACAAGTCTTGGTTTTGCTCTCGCTTCCAGCTTTCCAAATTGTTCTCCACTTCCATAATAAACCTTTACAATATCATTGAGCACCAGCTAAAACCTAACCAACATTGCTGGAATAGAATACAATAGCAGCAAATTTACTTATTGATGGAAGAGTCTGTTCTACTGTCGTCCATGGCAGAGAAGATTTGACAGCACTGCCTGCTAGACACAGTAGTACTATTTTCAGCGAATGCAGTCAGAATAACGTGCAGTAAGGGTGCTGTAAAGAAATAACACAGTTATTTTGGGCCTTACACGCAATTTTTAATCTAGTGAAAACTAAAAATACCTTATTAATATGGGTTGCTAAGAAGTCCCATGGGGCACAAAAGAAAAAACAAATGAGAAGAACATGAGCCGCTTCTCATCAATTTCCACGCACTTTTCATCAATTTGAGAAATCCTTTTTAACCTTTTTACCTATTTCCAAAACATTTTTTATTCCAATCCTGATATTAACCCGTGCCTAGAATTTGCCTAATAATAATAATTATGCTTTGGAAGACATGAAATTACTTGAACAAACATCTTGATGGTCAACAACGTAAATTGTCAAGTTGGATAGATGTGAATTATATTAACACGAGTATGGAGCATCAACATGTCGGGAGCAAACATTAAATATTGTGCTATTGTGAATAAAATTGTAGCCAAATTGCATATTGTAATGAGACCCACATTAACAATTATATGTAGAGGATCCTCCGTCGGATACTACTATCGGGTGTAGGCGTGTATCCAAGCATCAGACCTTCATAAATTTAGGTAGTGTTTGGTTTATTGGAATAAATTGGAATGGAATGAAAATTCCATCAAAATATTCATTCCCATGTTTGGTTAGACTAAAAAAATAATGACAAATGCATTACAAATGGAATTATCTTTCACTATTTTAGGAAAGGATAAGGAATCATCATTCCATTCCATTCCCTCTCATTCCAATGAACCAAATAAAGCATTAAATCTTAGGATCTTGGGACATGTATCCAAAACTGAATATGGGTACTGGGTGCGGATAATATTCTCGGATGAAATGTTGTAAAATATGTAGAAATATACTAGACATTAAATAGGGTTTGAGGAAAATATGAAAGTACTATATCTAATTCATGTGAGAGATAAAAATATTACTTTACTAGCAAATGTGAGTTTCTTTTAAATCATATATTATAACAAATTGAAAGATTCGGGTGTCTAAATTGGGTACAGGTGTCGGACACATCCCACATCCTTACTCTTGACATAGAAGAGCCCATGTAATACAGGTCCAATCCACTGTCTAGTAGGTAAGTTAATGAGGTGAGAAAAAACTGTAGCTATAGGGTCTTTGAGGTGTTATTGTGCTTCCAGAATGCTTGTATATCTTTAGAACGAGGCGTGCATCCATATGGTTTTCAACACTGGTTTCAATGAAACTGAGAACTTTATGTAAACAACACTCGAATAGACTCTTGCAAATAGAGTGTTATATACACTTAGGGTGGCAAATCCCCTTTCACAATCTACATAGGACCATACCTAAAAGAACAGGTTTAGGATCCATTTTCAGAAAATATTAGAACAAAATGTTTGCACTCAAACATAATGCAAATTCTCCCTTGTCAAGCATGCAAGTGAAATTGAAAAAAGAAAGAAAGATTATACACATGTTTGCCTCATCAATTCCTAACGCCCTCGAAATAATCCACCTCGAGTTTAGTCAAATGCAAATCAATGCATTTAAGTTCCAATTGTATTGACAGGAAAAAAGTACTTCACAATGAAAGATATGTTTTTCAGTATTTTTAGCACCAGAAAAATGGATTGTGGCAGCTCTGCTTGGATACTGGCCAGGGTAAGGAGTAAAGAAAGCTTTGTCCATCTCAAAAAGTGAGTCTCTAAACTTTTGAGGTTAAAAAAGAATTTGAGGCAACCATGATTTTAAAGGAAGTGTTTTCTCTTTTTCCCCAAGTAGAGAGTATTGATAGAGAAATGAGGAAAAAGGCAAACCTAAGAAGCTCCAACAATAACACACCTAGTGGTCCAAATCGAAAAATTTCATGAACAGAAAAGGAATACTTATTTTATTTCTTTATGGGCCTCACTGGGTGATGATTCACTTCAATATAATAATCCAGTAACTTCATGTGTCTTGAAGAGCACTGAAGAAGAACAGAGTTTTTATTTGGGCGAATTTACAATTTACCCCCTTCAACTATTGTCCAATATCACTTTACCACCCTCAACTAAAAATTGTAACAACTAACCCCCTACATCTAATAATTTTTTTCAATATGAACCTTTATGACTAAAAACCCTTTCATCAATTGGATAAATTACACTTTATCCCCTTGAACTATCACCTAGTATCACTTTCAATTTGGACTTCTTATTTTTATTTTTATTTTTATTTTTATTTTATTTTTCAATTTATCACTAAATTAATTTTTAGTTTGTTAGGAAAAAAATTAAAAAAAAAAAATTTCTTCACAAATATTTAAATGTTAGGTGCATCTAAAAATTTAAATTATTTGATTAAAATATGAAAAATTATTAGGAAAAAAAAAAAAACTTAAAAATTGGATTTTAAATTAAAAATCAAACAATTTTTTTTAGTTGAAGGGGTAGTGTGATATTGAGTGATAATTCAAGAGGGTAAAGTTTAATTTACTCCGTGTTACAATTTTTAGTTCAAGGTGGTAAAGTGATATGAGACAATAATTTAGGGGGATAAAATGTAATTTGCCTTTTTAGTTTCCTTCTTTTAGGCTGTATTTGGATCATAGATTTAGATAGGGATAAAGGAAAAGGAAAAGGAAAAGCAAATGGAAAAGGAAAATGCGAAAGAAATTGAGAAAAAATTTAACTTATATTTCCTACACATTTTTCCTCTCTCTTTCCAAATTCCTACACAAATCCATTATCAAAACCTTACAGTTTTGTTTTGCCAACTAAGAGATTCAGATTACAAGACAGTATGTTTCAAGGTCAATATTCCTATTGAACAATTTTTGTTTTTATTTTTATTTTTATTTTTTTTAAGCAAAAGAGGAAAATAATAAAAGTAAAAAAGCTAAGAAGCATGGACACAGACATGCAACACAACACGGACACGCTAAAATGTCAATTTTAAAAAAATCGCAGAACATGAGATATCCATATTAAAAAGAATTTGAATGAATATTGTTGGCGCCATGTTGAAACCAACCAATACGAAGGAGACACGTGGTAAACAGGGCAAATGTGAGTTATCCAATCAGAAGCAAACAAGCAAACGACCATCAAAATTCAAGAGTCAAACTTCGGGGCAAGTCACGTGCACAACACATGACCAAGAAAGATCATGGTGCGAGCGGTTATTTGAAGAGGCAGGCTGGAGCATCAAGAAGAATTCAAAGATGAAGAAAGGAGGGAAAAACTCCTAAAGACTAGCTGCAAAGAAGGAAATCGTGGGTATGAGGCTGGGTAACCGCCATGAATTCAAAGGCAGCCTATAAATAATCGAAGACAAAGATGGAGAAGGCCCTTGAACAAATCCAGACTCTACGTCTTCGCCTTCCTTTTTTTTTTCTTTTCTTGAATTGCACCTTTACATTCCATAGGAGTAGAACTAACTGGTTCTTCTGTAATTCAGTTTCAACCTTTGAAAGTTGCCCAGTCATTAAGGCAACAACAGTGTAATTGTGTTATTCAATTAATCAATTACATACTTCTGTCTTAGTTTCTTCCCCCAATTATGCTTCAAATTATCTGTTTATGCTACATTGGTTCTCAATCAAAACACACAGTTTTTTGAAGTCCTATTCATTTAGGCAAAAAGAACCTTTCACAATTGTCTAGTGTTTGGCTTAAACCTGTATCTATAAAAACTTTTTAGTCCTTGCGGGCATGCACGAATTACAAATTTTAACCTTTGAACGGCTAAAAAAGCCAACACACACACACACACATATATATATATATATGAAGGGTTCAAGATGCTACTACCAAGAGGACAAGGGATTTTTGTTTCAGATCTGTCCATGGGAAGTTCCATTCTATCCAAAATTTGATTTAAGCTCCATAGTGCTCTCTAATAATCCAACTAGTGGAACCTTAATAGTATGTCGAAGAGGAGAAGGAAAAAAACCAGAGAATTTCATTTAAATGAAACAAGATTTTGTTAGTCAACTTCAGATTTGGAGATTTTCTAGACAGCCATCAATTAGATATCCAAATTGACATTTTAGTTAAAGATCTCCAGCCTCCACTAAAGACAGCTGCCAATTTTACCCTAACTGGTCTTGCCAAACAATGCTTATGGAAAGAAGAAGTTCATAAAATCAAACACCCAGTGTCAAGAAGGAAAAAAAAAAAAAAAAATTCAGAATCAGTTTTAGAACATCGGATTCATGCACCGACAGTTCAAAATTCATCTAATAGGACAATGCCATTTACAAAACTACAGTAGTCTGCACACCAAATTCAATGCATATCATAGCTACCAAGTTCCCACACAGAAATTGCAGATCCAACCCATTTCCATGGGATGGCAGCAGCAAGTATATGTCAAAATCAATGCCATTAAATTCTACAATTCAGTTCTAAACTCCACCTAAAGATAATCATAACAAACAACACAAGATTTCAATTTAGGGAAACAAAACAACAATTACCTCAATGAGAAAGAAGGGTATCACTTCACTTGGAGGACACTGGCTTCTGCAAAAGAGCAGTCAAGTAAACCTCCCCATTCTTCACCCCGCTCGAATTGGTCTTATTGGCCACTGCCCATTTCACCTTCTTATAACCCAACTTCCCAATCAAGGGCGCATAAATCTTGTCAAGATCAATCCCTTTACAGAAAAACCTGTCCAACCACAAGTACCCACCACCCCTCAATACCCTATCCAAATCATAGAACAAGAATTCCATTGCTGTCACCGGTATCCACCGATTGACGGCGTGGCCACACCTCACCAGATCCAAAACACCGTCGAACACCGGCAGCCGCTGCTGAAGCGGGGCATGCAGCGGCACCAACCCCCTCAGCCCCGCCGCCTCGTTGTAGGGAGCACCCAAATTCATTGTAGTCGTAATCACAGTGGCGTTTAGTAGCTTCTTCATTTGGGCAGCGAAAGTGCCCGTGCCACCGCCAATGTCTAACCCGAGTCGAATCACCGATTTAGCTGATTTCGCGATTTGTTGGAATTGCGGGATGGGGAGATCCAGATCTGATTTGTAGCTTAGGAATTTGGGTTTCTCGACTTTCATGTCGAAACCCAGATCGGAGTTGAAGCGAGCGAGGCAAGTGAAGCTTTTGCAATTGTATTTGGTCCAAATGATGGAATTGTCAGGGAGGGGGCTAGAAAATGGGTCGGTGGGGAGGAGAGAGGAGGAGGTGGGGGGTTTTGGGGGGGTTGGGGAGAAGCAGCGGCGGCGGGGGAGGGGGTGGCAACCGCGGAGGATAAGGGATTCGGCGAGGTCGGTGTCGTGAGGGCAGAGAGAGAATGGGGTGTAGTTCATGAAGCGGTGGAGGAGGTCTGGGTGGTGGCGGCAGGAAGAGGCGATGGGGGAGATGTGGGTGTAGAGGAGGAGATCAGATGGGACGGTGGGCTTTGAAGGATTGCTAGTAGTGGTGGTGGTGGTGGGTTGGAGGCGCGTGAGGTGGTTGATGGTGGCTCGTATGGTGTGGAGTTGGCGGAGGAGGTGGTCAGGGACAGGTGGGGGAGTTGGGGCCTTGGATTGGATGGTGGAGGAGAGGTGGTAGAGAGACAGAATGTTGGTGGCTACCATTGCCAAAAGAAGCACAAAATTGAGACCCATTGTGAAACCCATTTCTTGAAAAGATCTTCTTGATTTTCTTGTTTTATCTATCTATGCGGGTTGAGTTGGGTTGGGTGCCTTTTGCTTTGAGCTCTAGACTTGCCGGTGATGAAGCACTACTAATTAACCCCTCATCACTCTCCTCCACTGTTGAGGATTTTTAAGATTGAAGTGGGGATGGTGATTGTATGTTGGTGTTTTTGATCTGCTGTTTTTATTTGGGGTATTTGTGACCGTTGGATTGGAATTGTTGAGGAGGGTTGAGAATCTGTGAAGTCAAAGGCATTAGGTTCGCATCTCAATGTGATTCAAATCGAACGGATAAAAAAATAATGTGACTAGGTGCCCATAAGTAGCTTGCCATCTTCTTCTTCTGCAATTTGTTCGTTCAAAAGGATGTACATATTTACAACAGTATCACAAGTCGAGGGTGTAGTATATACAGCAGTGTCATAAATTGAGGATGTATGGTGCTTCTAGTCGTGTTTCTCTCATAATTATCTTACTATTAGTGGTTACGTGCGGTAAATGTGATACGTAATTTTTTTTTTTTTTTTTGTCAACTATTAATATTATAATTATATGTATTTCTTATATTAGTATGTAATTTGTATATAAAGTATAGAGTGTTGTATAGATAAATTGATTTATATCCAAATACAACTAAGTAAAAAACAAATAAATACTTAGTTCAAGTATTTAAATGATAAATGAAATTTTTTTATAAATATAAATATTATTTTATAGTTAGATTGTTGAGATTACAATTTATTTTAAATAATAAATAACAAACAAATACTTTAAATATATAATATTACAGAAATCTTTTTCTATTAACTTCCATTTCATTTTTTTATAATCTGTAACTGTAATACAATCAAAGGTATGAAATTAATTGCACAATTCCACAATTTTATTTAATATTTTATCTCATAATACAAATTCATTGAACTCACTGTTACATATCATTTGCATACTATTAGTGTAAAAGTGCATTAATATTAATATGTAATATATTTTTATACATTAAGTGTAGCAACCCTCACCTTACTTTTGTCATACTGGCATACATTCATGCATGATCTTGTCTTGTTGTGTTGTTTGCAAGTTGTGCCTTGCCTTGTTTTGTTTAAGTGTTGCTTGCATGATTTTTGTTCCTTGCTTGGTGTGTAGCCGAGGTCATCTTGAGCTTAGTTCACCTCTGAACCTTTGTGCTTAGAAGTGTTTTGGAACCACTTGGTCGACCCCCATCTTCACCCCGGGCATGTTTGCCGAGATGTTTTGCACTTAGTGATCCTTGTCTTTGGGCAGGTATGGCCTAGGCCGAGGTGTGGCACACCCAGGCCAAGGTGTGGCACAACTTAGTCAAGTGTCGTCCTCCCTAGCCAATGTCTTTGTTACCCTGTTGCCGAAGCCTTGACTTCAGCCGATGTCATTACTTGCCGATGTGTTTTGCCTTAGCTTGCTGCGTACGCTTTGTCACAGACTTGTCTTATCAATCAGTCACCTTTTTGAGTTAAACCAACCCGATAGCGCCACGTGTCCGAGCAGAAGGTTAAGTCAGCCGGCAGGCCTGTGAACATATCATTCTTTTGTATCATTTTGTTGCAAGCTTTGTTCTTGAAGAGAGAGAAGCTCTAGAAGAAGGAGAAGGAGTTTTAGAGTGAGAGAGTAGATTTTCGAGTTGACCTTTGGAGTTTGAGCCGTTAGATTCGAGCTTTGGGGTAAGATTTTAACCTACTCTGGTTGTTGTTATTGATCATCCAGTTGCATTGCATGATCGAATTTGTTTTGCATGTCATGCATTGATTTGAAGTTGGTTTCAGAAGAGAAAGACAGTATTCATGTGTTCTTGAAGAAAAGTCTCGTTTTGATCCGAAAGTTTGGAACAAGAACCATGTTTTGTGTTTATTCTTGCATGACCTTCTTGTATGGGTACCCAGGTCCATGTTTTGAACTCATGGCATGAAATCTCAGATTTTTGTAACAAGTTATGATCTTGCATTCATCTTCCTCATGATCATGTTCATCATGTTCTTCAAAGGGAAACCCATGTTTTCCCGACTTTGCTTTTGAATGAGGCCATCAGGACCACACCTCGGCAAGGAGGTGTATGATCTCGGCAAAGACCTGGTTGGTACCCAGTGTGTTTTCATGAGACGGAAACAGTGTTTAAACTCCCAGCATGTTTTGCTTTGTCATTGACTTGGATCTGGTGAGAATGCCGGGATCATTTGCATGCATATAAGGCTTGTTTTGAGAATGTGATTGCCATGTGATTGTAGGTCCTTGATCTTTGCTTTGAGCCTATACCGAGGAGATCTAAGTGAATGGTATTTTTGATAAAGCTATGTTATACTGTTTTTGATAAATCTTGCTTTGCTTTGTTTCGACGAAAGTATTTGTTAAGCATGAATGAATAGCTCTGTTTGATGTATCAAGTATAAGCTTTGTTTTGATGTCATCCTCGAAAAGTCCCTTGTGCTGGAGGACTCTAAACTTTCGCAGCACTAAGTATAAAAGGATACGATCCTTTCTTGGAAAGACTATCGTGTTAAAGCGGGCTACGGGCCTAAGTAACACAAGACCATCGTGTTTAAAAGAGCTACGGGCTTAAGTAACACAAGTCCCTTGTGCTAGAGGATTATAAACTTTCGCAGTACCTTTGACTAATCGATTACGGATCGTGCAGTCTTTGTTTTGCCATTGACGGTTTACCGCGTGGACTTGTTCGTTCGGAAAGCTTGATTTGTGTTTTGCCGATGCCAGTAAGCATCCCTTGAGACTTGTAAGACTTGATAGGCGAATACGGTTCATCTCTTGTTTTGGTAAAGTTTTGATGTGTTTTGCTCTGAAAGGATCTCGGCTAATATTCGTATGGTCTTGGCATGTTTTGTTTGGAAAAGACTTCGACTATATTCATGCAAAACCTTTATTACTAGTACCATTCACTGAGTATCCAAGCTCACCCTCTCTATATATGAAGGGTTCAAGATGCCACTACCAAGAGGACAAGGGATTTTTGTTTCAGATCTGTCCATGGGAAGTTCCATTGTATCCAAAATTTGATTTAAGCTCCATAGTGCTCTCTAATAATCCAACTAGTGGAACCTTAATAGTATGTCAAAGAGGAGAAGGAAAAAAACCAGAGAATTTCATTTAAATGAAACAAGATTTTGTTAGTCAACTTCAGATTTGGAGATTTTCTAGACAGCCATCAATTAGATATCCAAATTGACATTTTAGTTAAAGATCTCCAGCCTCCACTAAAGACAGCTGCCAATTTTACCCTAACTGGTCTTGCCAAACAATGCTTATGGAAAGAAGAAGTTCATAAAATCAAACACCCAGTGTCAAGAAGGAAAAAAAAAAAAAAAAATTCAGAATCAGTTTTAGAACATCGGATTCATGCACCGACAGTTCAAAATTCATCTAATAGGACAATGCCATTTACAAAACTACAGTAGTCTGCACACCAAATTCAATGCATATCATAGCTACCAAGTTCCCACACAGAAATTGCAGATCCAACCCATTTCCATGGGATGGCAGCAGCAAGTATATGTCAAAATCAATGCCATTAAATTCTACAATTCAGTTCTAAACTCCACCTAAAGATAATCATAACAAACAACACAAGATTTCAATTTAGGGAAACAAAACAACAATTACCTCAATGAGAAAGAAGGGTATCACTTCACTTGGAGGACACTGGCTTCTGCAAAAGAGCAGTCAAGTAAACCTCCCCATTCTTCACCCCGCTCGAATTGGTCTTATTGGCCACTGCCCATTTCACCTTCTTATAACCCAACTTCCCAATCAAGGGCGCATAAATCTTGTCAAGATCAATCCCTTTACAGAAAAACCTGTCCAACCACAAGTACCCACCACCCCTCAATACCCTATCCAAATCATAGAACAAGAATTCCATTGCTGTCACCGGTATCCACCGATTGACGGCGTGGCCACACCTCACCAGATCCAAAACACCGTCGAACACCGGCAGCTGCTGCTGAAGCGGGGCATGCAGCGGCACCAACCCCCTCAGCCCCGCCGCCTCGTTGTAGGGAGCACCCAAATTCATTGTAGTCGTAATCACAGTGGCGTTTAGTAGCTTCTTCATTTGGGCAGCGAAAGTGCCCGTGCCACCGCCAATGTCTAACCCGAGTCGAATCACCGATTTAGCTGATTTCGCGATTTGTTGGAATTGCGGGATGGGGAGATCCAGATCTGATTTGTAGCTTAGGAATTTGGGTTTCTCGACTTTCATGTCGAAACCCAGATCGGAGTTGAAGCGAGCAAGGCAAGTGAAGCTTTTGCAATTGTATTTGGTCCAAATGATGGAATTGTCAGGGAGGGGGCTAGAAAATGGGTCGGTGGGGAGGAGAGAGGAGGAGGTGGGGGGTTTTGGGGGGGTTCGGGAGAAGCAGCGGCGGCGGGGGAGGGGGTGGCAACCGCGGAGGATAAGGGATTCGGCGAGGTCGGTGTCGTGAGGGCAGAGAGAGAATGGGGTGTAGTTCATGAAGCGGTGGAGGAGGTCTGGGTGGTGGCGGCAGGAAGAGGCGATGGGGGAGATGTGGGTGTAGAGGAGGAGATCAGATGGGACGGTGGGCTTTGAAGGATTGCTAGTAGTGGTGGTGGTGGTGGGTTGGAGGCGCGTGAGGTGGTTGATGGTGGCTCGTATGGTGTGGAGTTGGCGGAGGAGGTGGTCAGGGACAGGTGGGGGAGTTGGGGCCTTGGATTGGATGGTGGAGGAGAGGTGGTAGAGAGACAGAATGTTGGTGGCTACCATTGCCAAAAGAAGCACAAAATTGAGACCCATTGTGAAACCCATTTCTTGAAAAGATCTTCTTGATTTTCTGGTTTTATCTATCTATGCGGGTTGAGTTGGGTTGGGTGCCTTTTGCTTTGAGCTCTAGACTTGCCGGTGATGAAACACTACTAATTAACCCCTCATCACTCTCCTCCACTGTTGAGGATTTTTAAGATTGAAGTGGGGATGGTGATTGTATGTTGGTGTTTTTGATCTGCTGTTTTTATTTGGGGTATTTGTGACCGTTGGATTGGGATTGTTGAGGAGGGTTGAGAATCTGTGAAGTCAAAGGCATTAGGTTCGCATCTCAATGTGATTCAAATCGAACGGATAAAAAAATAATGTGACTAGGTGCCCATAAGTAGCTTGTGATCTTCTTCTTCTGCAATTTGTTCGTTCAAAAGGATGTACTTATTTACAACAGTATCATAAGTCAAGGGTGTAGTATATACAGCAGTGTCATAAATTGAGGATGTATGGTGCTTCTAGTCGTGTTTCTCCCCAATCTCTTATCTCCATCATCTCCTTTGTTGTTGTGTTCCTAAGTTGAGATTATTGAAGAATCTAAGCCTCTCATCATATTCTAGAGAATTCGAAGTTGTTCTTCAAGGACCTTTGAAGATCTTCGAATTTTCCAACTCCTTTCTTGAACCCTCACCTACAGTATGTAATTTGTATATAAAGAATAGAGAGTTGTATAAATAAATTGATTTATATCCAAGTACAACTAAGTAAGAAACAAATAAACACTTAGCTCAAGTATTTAAATGATAAATGAAATTTTTTATAAATATAAACATTATTTTATAATTAGATTGTTGAGATAACAATTTATTTTAAATAATAAATAACAAACAAATACTTTAAATATATAATATTATAGAAATTTTTTTCTATTAACTTCCATTTCATTTTTTTATAATCCGTAAATGTAATACAATCAAAGGTATGAAATTAATTACACAATTTCACAATTTTATTTAATATTTTATCTCGTAATATAAATTCATTGAACTTACTGTTACATATCATTTGCATACTATTAGTGTAAAAGTGAATTAATATTAATATGTAATATATTTTTATATATTAAGAGTTGTTGAGTTTCGTTTCTTGTGCCACGAATATCTTGCATAATGAAAAATATAACTATAGCGATCCTGATTAGATCCAACCCGTTTATTGCTTTTTAATCCTGGAAACCTTACCCGTGACTGTCGTTTCTTTTCTTTTCATGATTGGCTTTGGCTTCGGCTTCGGCTTCAAGGGTCGACACCATTCTTGGTGGTGTCGACATTGCCTTTATTTTCTTGTTTTATTCTTCCTTTAGGGCTGACACCAGTCTTGGTAGTGTCTACACCGCTTTGTTGCTGTGCTCTTGGTGTAGCTACTGAAATTTGAGATTGACAACAGTCTTGGTGGTGTCGACACTTGTCTTTTGTTATTAGCTTCTGGGGTCGACACCAGTTTGGATAGTGTCGACACTTGTCTGCTGCTGAGTCCAGATTTTGCTTTTGAAATTTGGTGTCAAAACCACGAGTTCTAGGGTCGACACCTTGTTCGCTGCAAACATTGGTATTTTTGGCATTTTTTCCTAAGGGTCAATGCCACCGACTTGGGGGTCGGCCCCTGTGAATTATTTTCCAAATTTTTGGGTTGTTTTGGGGTCTTACTTTTTGGGGATTTTGACTTATTCTTTTCCTTTGACTTTGGGGCTATTATTTTATCAGTACGTAACCACTATAAATAGGCTTCAAAACACTTTCCTCTCATTATTTTCCTTCCACTTTTCCTCTCAAATCGTGATTCCTCTCTTCTCTCTCTGAACTTAACTTTTTTCCACTTAAGATCTTCAAATCTACTCACCTAGAGGTATCTTATCATCTTGGTCCTTTGGAATAAATTGTAGATCTTGTCAAGGGCCTCATTTTGATCCGAAAAGTTCTTAGTTTTGTTGACGTTGAGTTTTATCTGAGTTCACTCAAAGGAAAATTCCCTTCTAAACTTGAGGTAGAGATTTCTCCACACTTTTGTATAGTTTTTAACTTATTATTATTTTTTTTTATTATTTATTTTAAACAAGATTGTGGTTTGGGGATTTTTGAACAAAACTCTTGGGTTTGGTTTGAAATCAAAAGATGAGTTTTTAAATGGAATCATGGAAAAAGGTTGTGAGGATGTGATGATGATTGTTATATATTGAAATAATGGTCCTCTTCACTCAAAAGTGATTTTAAAAGAAAATGAGGTTTTGTTCCAAAATTATGAGTTTTGACTTGTGTTGGAAAACATTGAAAGTTAATTATTGGGAAAAATTCACTTTACTCCATTGTGATTTTCCCTCGGAGCACTTTACCCCCTTAGAGTTGAAATATAAACAAAGAACTGCATTTATGATTTTGAATTAAAGTGCACAACTAACTCTATTAAAAGTAAGGGCAAAATTACCAAATGTCCCTATGGTATATTCTCTTTCTCTCTTCTATAATATATATAATTTCCTATCTTAATCACATATTTAACAAATAAAATCATAGTAAACTAAATACTCTAATTTATAACTATAAAATTACCTTAATCTAATTTTTAATTTTTAACGTAATTTCTTATTTGATAACATTTTAAATTAAAAATAAAATTACCATAAATTAAACTATAAGATTAACCTAAACACCTCAAATCTATTTTTTTTAAAAAATAAAATTACCATAAATTAAACTATAAGATTAACCTAAACACCTCAAATCTATTTTTAAAAAAAAATTCATTACCATAAAATTAAATTATAAAATTATCAATCTAATTTTTAATTTTTATAAAATTTTAAAATAAACATATGTATAATTAAATCATAAATTAAACTAAACACCCTAATTATTATCATAAAAATACCTTTTAAGTCATAAATTAAACTAAACCCCTTAATTTATTAAAATTATTTTATTTAATAATATTTTAAATTAAACATGTAAATATATATATTTAATAAATTAAATAATAAATTAACATAAATACCTTAATTTATTACCATAAAATTAAATTCATAAAATTACCATAATCTAATTTTTAATTTTTAAAGAAATTTCTTATTTAATAACATTTTAAATTAAACCATAAATTAACCTAAATAATCTAATTTATTACCATAAAATTAACTTAATCTACTATATAATTTTTAAAAGAGATAGAAAGATGTAGAGTTGGGAGTTATTTACAACAATGATAGAATAGATATGGGATTGGAAATTATTATAACAATGAATTGATTCAGCCAAATTAAGGTAAATCTAACAAATCATAGGATAGAAGCAAAGGAATTACAAACAACACTCTCAAAACCCAAGAGATCACCCTCCAGAAGCTGTATTATTCTGCTTTGTTTTTCTTGGAGAAAGGTTAGCTGGCTGAATGAAAGTTTTGCTGGCCGGATTGTTTCTTGGTTGGTCTAATGAAAGATTCGAGAGAAACTCTATTTTGGGGGTTAAGGCCTCTCTGCTGTCTTGCTAAGCTTCAAGGGTAACACACTTTTCCCCTCTTTTAAGTTTTATTTTGATCCATCTCTTAGCCTTATTTGCATGCATATTTGAGCTTTGTTGAAAAAAGTCTTGTTTTGAGGTCCTTTTGTTATTTGTTTGAGGCCCTTTTGGTGTTAAGGGTCTTCTACCCTCTTGCATGCCTCATTTTGCCTTGTTTTGAGCTATGTCCTAAGGCCTTTGCGTTGACCTTTGCTTGGCCTTTTAACCACTGAAATCCAGCGGATTTTCAGTGGTTAACATGTGTTTTTGAGAGCCAAAATCAGAGAGGGGTGACCCTCTCCCTCATTGTCATGTTCACTAGCATTTTTGGCCTTACAAAGGAGCCTTTATTTGCACACCTCCAAGACTTGTTTCAGGCTCTTTTCAGTGACTTTTAGGGCCTGCCTAGGCTCTGTCCAGAGTTGGTTTTGTCACCTTGGGTGTGTCTCTTGCATGTGTGGAATAACCCCTCTTATAGCCTATCAAAGGAACATGACATTCTTGCATGCATTGATCATGTTTCAGGGGCTTTTTAGGCTTTATTTTGCATGTCATGTCTCTGCATTTTGCTGGTTTAGTGGCCTCTTGAATGCTTCATATGCTTGTAGTGTAAACCATGCTCACTAGCTTTCATTGCATGTTGTTTTGGCCATTGATTCTAGCATATTTTAACCATGTTCTAAACTGATTTTATTCATGATTTGGGCTGCCTTAGCTTTGTTTTGAGGTCCCATGGTCGAATGATGCTTGACATGCATGCTTGTAGTGTAATATCCTTGCCTAGCTTCGAGTTTTGAAGCCTCTTGCATGCTTAACTTGAGTTGTTTTCATGTTTTGGCATCATTGAACATGTTATTTCAGAGCTTATACTTGTGCCATATTCCCATGTTTTCACTCTTTAAATGCGTTTGAGAGTTGTGCTTGTATGCCTCATTTTTGGGCTATTGCATGAGCTTCATTTTTGTGCATTGCAAACCATCATTTTAGTCTATTTTGCCACTATTTTGGGTCTGCATAGGGACTGTTTGGGGTTGTTTTTGGTCATTTGGGCATCGCTTTGCATACCTCTAGTGTAATACACTTCACTAGTTTCGGTAATTGTGCCATCCAACATGCATCGAGTGAGTTGTTTACATGATTCGGGACCATCTTGTATGTCATTTCAGAGCTGGAACATGTGTCATTGTATGCCATATTTCATCCTTGTCATGCTTTGGTAGAGTTGCACTTTGTTCCTTAGGTTTGGTCCCTGGCATTTGTGCATGTTTGCATGTACCTTGTTGCCCCCATTTTCATCATATTGGCCACTGATTTGGGTGTGGCCGAGGCCCATCCATCTTGGTTTAAGTCCATCTTGCATTGTGTATGCCCTACAGTCCATGTTTTCGCATGTTTGATCATTGCATTGCGTATGCCTCGTTCATAACATTGCGTATGTTAGTGCATTGTGTATGCATGCCATATAATCCATGTGCATTGAGTATGCCATTGATTAGTTCATAGCATTGTGTATGCCATTTGCATGCTGGCATATCATTCCGTGCATCTTCGTATCACTTAGTTGCATTGCATTTAGATCGTATGCTAGAGTTGCATTTGTCCATATATTGTTTGTTGCATTGTGTTTGGAGTAGGGTTTAGTCCAAACACGGGAAACGAGGGACGTTTTG